ATATATATATATATATATATATATATATATATATATATATATATGATATTATATATATATATATATATATATATATATATATATATATATATATATATATATATATGTGTGTGTGTGTGTGTTTGTGTGTGTGTGTGTGTGTGTGTGTGTGTGTGTGTGTGTGTGTGTGTGTGTGTGTGTGTATGTGTGTGTGTATGTGTGTGTCTGTTAATCCAACCCATCTGTTTCCTAAAGCCAACCGGCACAATCCCCGCCTCCACAGCCAATATCCTCCGCCTCGAAACCCACCAGAGGCCTCCGCCAACTACAGTACACAAACGCAACTTCTTCGCAACTGTTCTCAAGGTTCATGGGACTATCGGGGGAAAAACAAGACGCGGGCCTCTGGGAACTTGGAAAAAATGAGATCTCGACATTCCGGAAGACAAGCCTGGAATCCCTTAAATAATCCAAAGGGATTTGTTTTGTTTTTTTGTTTCGTTTTTGTATCTTTTTTTTTTTACTATCATGTTACTTGATTGTTGTTGTTGAGAAGGTTTTTTACTAGATCTCAGAATGAGTGTATTGTAGCTTATCTTTGTATCAGACTTTTGTGTGAAATACACACACACACATCTCTGTGTATGCATTTAATGTATAGGCCTACGCATGAATATATATTTTCTCACCCATTCACAACGCAAATATAAATTGACATACCTATAAGAATAAAGTGATCGTCGGGCATTCGAATTTCCACTAAATAGATTCCCACGTTTTGTATGACATATTAATATACATTCAATTATCAACTTGAAAGTGCTACTACTAATGTATCTTTATATTGTGCGGAGGAAATGCAAGTAGAAAATGGATATAGTCAATGGGAAGAGAAGTTAAAGTTGCTAGGAAATTGATAGTGAAAGAAAACGAGAGGGAGAAGGAAAGAGATAAAGGAGGAAAAGAAAGAATGAAAGGAAAAGAAAGGATGAAAAAGAAAAAGAAGAACAAGAAGAAGGAGAGGTGTAGAAAAAGAAGAAGAAGAAAAAGAGAAAGAGGAAATGAAATAAGGAGGAGGAAAAAAGGAAAAAGAGAAAGAAGTAAGGAGATTAGGGATAAGGGTAAAAGGATTAAGGATAAAAAAAAGAAAAAAAAGAAAAGAAAAGAGAGGAGAAAATAAAAAGCGAATGAAGAGATAAGGAAGAAAAAAATAAGGAAAGAAAAAGAAGAAAAAAGTTAAAACGACAGAAAGAAAGAAAAAGGAAAGAAAGGTGGAAGGAAAAGGTGTATCCAACAAGATTCTCAAACCAAGTCGAACCTTTCAAGTATCAAGGATTCTTCTCCAAACTTCCTAGCTGATTCTGCACTCAAATGCATCTTATCTGCATATATCATTTCTCACTTTCAGATACATCGTGAGGTAGACACATACACACTCACACACACACACACACACACGCTCAAACACTCACACACACACACACACACACACACACACACACACACACACACACACACACACACACACACACACACACACGCTCAAACACTCACACACACACACACACACACTAAAACACTCACACACACACATACACACACACACACAAACTGGGAAGCCGACCGGCAACGGAAACACTCACAGGAAATTTGCCTGGACGTTACAACGGCGCGCCAGTCCCCGGAAGTGTCTTGCCTGAGGGTGCCAAGGAAGGTGCCTCAGCCCCGTATCCTATCGGCACTAATCCAGGCCATGTCGGAGGTGACCTAATTGCATTTCTCTCACTAGATGCAAACTCAATCTTCGGTCCCAAGTGCAAATCATCCTCCGCCACTTGATGAGTTGCTTATCATGTTTGCAAATTTGGAGCAAGTGAGAGAGAGAGAGAGAGAGAGAGAGAGAGAGAGAGAGAGAGAGAGAGAGAGAGAGAGAGAGAGAGAGAGAGAGAGAGGAGAGAGAGAGAGAGAGAGAGAGAGAGAGAGAGAGAGAGAGAGAGAGAGAGAGAGAGAGAGAGAGAGAGAGAGAGAGAGAGAGAGAGAGAGAGAGATAAAGAGGGAGGGAAGCAGATAGGTAGGGATGCAGAGAGAGTGAGAGAACGAACGTAGAAGGAAGAGAGAGAGAAAGAACGAAAAAGGAATATATACATATATATAAAGAGAGAGAGAGAGAGAGAGAGAGAGAGAGAGAGAGAGAGAGAGAGAGAGAGAGAGAGAGAGAGAGAGAGAGAGAGAGAGAGAGAGAGAGAGAGAGAGAGAGAGTGAAAAAGGAAAAATGTCTCAGGTGCGAATTAGGAGTCCTTAGCCGGTGCAGATAACAAGCTCATGAAGCAAGGACGGATTATCTTCACCGCACACCCGGACAGAACGGGCGGGCGAGGGAGAAGGAGGAAGAGGCTTCCGTTATCTTCTCTTTTGTTTTACTTTAATCTGATAAAAATGTCTTTACTCTCTGGATGACTTAGACATGAATTACGGAATCTCTCTCTCTCTCTCTCTCTCTCTCTATCTCTCTCTATCTCTC